AGATTATGTCTAACTCAAAAGAACCCAAAAATAGAACAACCCTTGTGTTGACACAGCTTTAACAAAATTCTTCAAAATATAACAAGAATTTCAAGAAAATGCTTTGAAAAACAAAAAAATGATGATAGATTTCTATTTTTCTTAATAATGTGTGTGTGTGTGGGTGTGTGGGAATGAGAGAAGGATAATGGATCATAGTAGCAGAAAACTAATGGTATTTATAAAAACCAGAAAGATATTTTTCATTATGTTACAAACTATAAAATAATGCTATAATTTTTTTATTTTATTTTATTTTTTCAAATTTTTTACAGAGAAACAACAGAAACCCTGAAATTAATAGTGGGTAAAAAAATAAAATAAAATGAATAAAAATAGTTTGGGAAGGGAAGGACCACTCTATATAATTCAGCAAACAATATCTGTTTAAAAAATGCAGCTTTAGCAGAGCGTGGGGAGAAAGGTAGGGTTACCCCTCACGTTCTAGCCGTGTAATACTTACAAAAAAGTGAGTGCGCAAGTGGGGTACTTCCATTTTTGTATACATCTATATNATACTAATAAATTACTATATAATTATTTGAAATATACTGATAATTTTTTTAGTCACATCTACCTATATATCTATATACTAGTACAACGCCTGTGTACTATACGGGTATTTGAGGAAAACATTAATTATAAGGAACAAAGAATTTTAAAGAAATAAAATTTTTATTGTGAAATAAAAATAATAAATAATTAATAACAAAGTATAAGAATTTATAATATAATTCTAATTTTTTTAAAATATTTTGTATGAAATATTCTTTATTTTATTTAAAATATATTCATTTTTTTCAAAATTAAATAGATAAGTAATTTATTTTATGCAGTTAATATAATGCCCGTGAACAACAAGGGAGCAGTAAAATAAAAATAAAATATTATGTAAAAACAATAAGTAAATAAATTTATATTCTTATAACATAATGATAAAAAAATTAAGTATAGAACTAATAATAAAAAAACTAACAAATTTAATTATTTAAAATAATACTTATATTTTATACCCAATTTTTTTAAACTGATATTTTTTTAACATGCACACACACATACATATATATATATATTATCTGTAACTCAATAAATTTATATTAAATTAATTTAAATTTTTTCCATATTTGATTAATATATTATAAACAATATTTTCATTCCTCATCTATTATATTTTTAAATATCTTCAACTTCATAATGTTCAATAATTTAGAATATAATATGTTTGTGTGTAATATTTTTAAACTTTATGAAATATAAAAATTATTTTTATTACTTTTAATTATAATTAACATTTTTTAATTTTTAGTATCATTATATTGTTCAATCTCTTTTTAGTCATTATTTAAGTTGAGACATAAATTAAATATTGTTTTATACTTATTTTATGTTCATGCATAGCTTATATATACTATTAAATTAAAATAAATATTTTATGATATGTTAATATAAATCAATTTCTATTGCTTCATAAGATAATTCGTATTTTTTTTATATTTTTAATTTTGTGTGATAAATCAATTTAAAATTTATTTATAAGATTATATATCACTGTTTTGTTTTTTCAATATGTAATATGGATGTCAAATCGAAGATCGTTAAAATATAATTAATTTGATAAATCATATATAAAAATAAATTACATACAAAAAAGTTACAAAATTTAAAAAATAAGAAGACATATTTATAATATTGGTGTATTAATTAAATAGAAAATATAATATGTGCTATTGCAAGAAACGAAAATGTAAAATAGTTTATAGTATCTAATTGTATAAGAAAAGAAGGAAGAGATCAATCAAATATTTAATGTGACTAATATAGATATTTAATAAAATTCAAGCCTACTTATTATTTTATAAAAAATACTAATTTATATCCAAGTCTAGCTACGAAGCATTGTTTTTTTGCCACATAGGATTCTAAAACGTGCAAGTCTTCGACTTAGGCTCAACGAATTCGACAGTTATATATAGGAGTGATTACTAAAAATAAGGAAGTTTATAAATAGACATTTTAACATTTTTCCGTCAAATATTATTACTTTTTTTTGAAAATTTCATATTTCCTATTATAAATCAAAGCTCCTAGAAAGGAATGTAGCATATGGGAATTCCTAAATAAAAATATGGCTATAATTATATCTAAATTACCACAAAAAATATAATTAAATTACTACAAATTATAAAATAATTATATATTTAATGAAACCAAAGTTTAAAAAATGGCATAAACTTGGGTTTTTATTCATTTGATATATATTTAAATACTAAAAAAAACATTATTTAATAACCATTTAATTGTTCATCAAAATTTATATTGTTAATGAGAAAACACTCCATAAATCTATATTTATATTCATGATTATTTTGAAAAAAAAAATTAAATAGACTATTATTTTTTGTCTTTAGTGTTATTAATAAAGAAGTATTTTAAAACTATTTTTTTTGTAATTATATGAAAATATATTTTTTTCACAACTTATTTGTATTTTTAGATCAATATTAGTTGAATCTGTTTTTTTATTTTAATAGTTCAAGTTTTTTTATGATCTATACATCACATCTATATCTATATATTACTAAAGAGAATAAATTCTATAAATAAACTTATTAAAATTTTTCTGACAAATATTATTACTTTATTTAAAAATTTTGTGTTTCCTATTAGAACCAAATTTTTATGAAAAATCTAACATTCTATAAATCTTATGGGATACCTAAATTGAAATATACAATAAGTATGCATGTCTAAATTGCTGAATATCAATTATAATTAAATTATCAAAACTATTTGTAACTTACAACATAATATAAAATAATAAAGTTTCACGGAAAGTAAAAGTTTGAAAATAGTGTAAAATGTGTTAGGCTCTAGCTGGTTTGATCTATATTTAAATATTAAAAATAATATTTTTTAAAAATTATATATTTTTCAAGCAAACTATATATTGTTAATTAGAAATTCACCTCGTAAATCTACATCTATGTATTATTAAAGAGAAATCCATTAAGCAACTAAGGTCTGCGGCAAATCTACGAAGTTGAGAATTTTTAAGAAACTGTAGTCTGTACCTTGGAGCCTGTTTATAAACTTTTAGAAAATTTTGCATCCATCCACGTAGGAATTTGACCTTACACGTTAGATATTCATCTGGTCACGTCAGCATTTTATGAATCCATTCGAAAATTGTACGAGTTTTGATTAAAGTGATAATATAGAGGACTATTTTGATGACATCCGATGTGGTGGACCTTATTCAAAAAGTGACCAACATAGTGGACTAAAAGTGAAATTTTGCCATCATTTATTATATGTATTTTTTTCTTCTCTGATTTTTTTTTTCTTTGTTCATGTGTAAAATTGACAAGAATAAGAAAACAGAAATGTTGATATTTTTAAGTTTTAGCAACCCATCACATGTCAGCACGTATTGATAATATCTTTGTACTTTGGAATATGACTAGGGAAGCCACTGTTATTCTCTGTAGAATTGGGTCCCAATTATTTTAAATATTTTGTCCTTCATTTTTCTTATTTTAATTTATTTTTTATTTTCATAATTGGTTGATTGTTTTGTTTTCTCTCCTCATAGATGTGAATATCTTATATATGCTTGTGGTATAATGGATTAAACTTTTTTTAACCCTAAATTGCAAAAGGCTGTGCAAAAAAACTGCCAAAAACGTTAAAAAGCAAAAGGTACGCTTAACATGTGCATGTAATCGTTATCTTCATCACAGAGATTACAGGTACATTAAATTGGCAAGATAAATATGTGACAAATATATATCTGTGGACATTAAAAGAAAATAAAATAAAGGTTAAAAGTTACTGACAATTTTTCTAAGTACGTGCATGATCGAATTGACAAATATTGATACCACTTTATATATAATTAGGTACATGTACACTATAAGGACGACGCATATGAATACTGATCTGCAAAACTTTCAAATAAATCCAGCATAATGTACCAAATGATCTACTGGGACCATTACCTAGCCTGCTAGCCATCTTGAAGACTAGATGGCCTTCTTGTAATATGGAAAAACAATGGATTATTAAAATTTATGTTTGTTTAAAAAAAAAAAATCATTATTACTAAAGGTTGATTCACTGTTGAAAATTAAGTGATATTCTATTTGGGATAATTTTAATATTAATGAGGCTTTTTTTATTGTTTTCAAAATGAATAATATGATGGCCGTCAGATTTCTCAGTAAATATAAATATTCATATTGGAAATCTAAAACTAAAAAAATAGCATAAATAAACAAATATATGAATTTCTGCATTATAATTACGTATGTTTACTTGAAAAGCTTGACGAGTGGAACCCATCTAACTATTAGTTCGTCTCACAGCAGGATTTTTGAGGACATTATAAAAAGATAGGGTTTTATACATCTATTATTAAATGTGGGAGCAAGAAAATTAGAAACAATAAATAAAATAAAATCTCCCAACCAAAAACTTGCAAGAAANAAATGATAAAGTAGAGCAAAAAATAAAATTTAAATTGGTAAATAATATGCATGGAAATGAGGAAGGGCATAACATAATACTAAAATGAAAAATATGTGTGATCACTCACGCAACCACACAATGGAAGTGTCAGAAGATGCATAGCCAAATTGGAGGGAATTGCATATGCAAATGTAATGGTACAGCCTAACTTTGCTTATCATTATTCATTGTGTGGGGGCACTTTCCGAACCAAGCGTGCACTTGCACGGACGCCTCAGTATATATATTTATATTATTATATATAATTCTGATTGTTTGAATTATAAACCGATCACCTAATAAGCATATATTTAAGTATAATAGATCTACATCATTGTATTGATAAAATAAAAATCGATTTATTAATAAAATAGAAATCGGTATAATCGATTCAACCACAACTTGACCAGTAACCTATTAAAATTTAGTTCACGGGTTTGATGATCGATCCTTCCTAGGAGCTTCATTGTAGTAAGTCCTTGCAATTTTTGGATTCCTGTAACTTTTTGTAGAGCTTTTTTTTTTTTTTTTTCTTTTTTGCATTTTCAGAATTCTGTATGCATTTTACCTTTTCGCATGGTATGACTGTCTCTTTTCCCCTTTCTCCCCAGGTTGGTTATTTTTCAAATTTATAATTCTACTGTTCTTCAGGATTTTTCAGCTTTTAAAAAGACTGGGCTTGGGCTTTTGGCAGAAATTTTATCCATCTTAGTTTTAAATTTATTTTTCCAAACGTTTTGGGCATTTGGTCACAATTTTTTTTATTGGATATGTGATGCAGACCATAAATGAATATACAAATTACAATAACTGACTATTGAAAACATAAATAATGAACATGCCATACACATCAAAGAACCTTTGATAATTAATTAATCCACTAAAAAAGTGCACAATTTAACACTACAAACATGAAAGTTGAAACAACTAACAGGACATGGAGGCTTGTTAAATTCAAAAAACTCTTCCCCTCCATCTTCCAGACGACACTATTTGTGACCCTCAAGGCCAAGGGCTACAAATTTCCAAGTAGATGGTTTACAAAGAATAATCTTACATTTGAAATTTTGTCCTGGTATAGATTGGCTATAGAGTAGATGTTATCATATGGAATGGAAGTACATCAGTCTTTTTAATTGATTGCAACAACTCTCTGTTTCATTCATATCTACAAAATTATCAATCAAAAGGCTCAAAGAACAACAACCAAAGACAAAAACCTAGGTAGCCAATTTAATGATATGCATACTGAAAAGTGAATGTAAACACACAGTATCTCAACGAGTACATGTCAACCTGAGAATGAATTCTATCTTTTTTGTACACTAAACTAAAATCTATACATCAAATAGTTTGCAGATACAAAGCACAAATACTTACTTATTTTGCTGTGTAATCCCCTTGAATGCGAACTCTGTTTAATATCTCATCCAATGAATCCAATGCAAACTTGTAGTGATCACGCGATTTCCTCCCTTCCTCCACAACTTTCACAACACATTTGTACAAGTTATCGTATCTATGCAAAGGGTTATGAATATCAATACCTTTGTGTCCATAATCGAAAACATAATTACGTTCAATGTCCTTTCTCCATCTTTCAAGCACATATTGAGGAGGAATTTCTTCCAAACCGAGTTGATTGATAACACTCAATAAATGTCTGCACAAATAGCCCCTAAAATTGAATAGCCCACAAGCACATACACTATCAGCATCTGAGGTATTATAGATCACCTCGAAATCTTTTACCTCCCTTCTGTTTTCTACAACTTGAATATCTTCTTTGACGATGTAAGTTGCAATCGAACCATCAATGCTCATCTGTCTTATGCTCAGACACGAATACATTCCCTCTATCTCGTCTTGAAAATTCTTGAACACATCGTTTGTGTATAATTTCGAAACCTGCAGCTCGAAATAGAAGTTCGACTTTAGCACGGGGCACGAGCTTTTAGATTCCAAATCTGATAACGATTCTCTTTGCTCGATTTCAGTTATAGCATGCTCGTAACTGCCGAGAAATTCTCTGAGGGAAGTATTCGGCCTCAAGCATCTCTCGAAAGGTGAAATCAACAGCTCGTTTTCTTTCATAGGAAACATGCCTGCCAGGTAAACCTCCTTCAGATAGACTGGGGCCCACCGCTTGCGCTCTTCATACAACGCTTTTATCAAATCACAACTCGAGAGTCCATATCTCAGCACCATTTCTTCCCAAGCGTCCTCAAACTCATCCTCACACAACGAGTGATAAACTGCTCTAGCAAACGCCTTCCAAATTGCATCAAACTCCTCAAACAGCTTAAATTCGCTTAAAACCATATCCACAATATTTCTCAAATCAAGACAATGGAAAGCCCGAGGAAGAACTTCTGCAACAGCAGCTCGCAAGAATTCACACCAACTTGTAATGACTGTTTGGGGCGTGCGGCCCACCATATATGTGAGCCATGCCCTGAGCAGCCACACAAAAGAATCCACAGTTTTCCCCGAAACTAAACCACATCCTAACGGCAAAGTCTGCCCGTGATGATTCACACCCGTAAAAACCACAAGCGGAATTTTGTATCTTCCTACCAAAGCTTTTGCATCAATAAATAAAACATCCCCAAAATGCCCATACGCAGCCCTACACTTCCCTTCGGCCCAGAAAACATTCCTCAAGCATCCATTCTCATTAACATCCATGACGTAAAAGAAACTAGGGTCACCCAACTGCATCCTCGTGAAAAAATCGACCATTTCTCGAGCGTACCCCTTTTCGAGACTCAATTTAGCCCCAATTCTGCCATTGTCCAAATCCGAAACCCTAGCATCTACCTCATCAACGACCACTGTCCTAAACAGCCTGATTTTCCCAACACCGTTCTCTGCAACGGGCCTCTTGCTCCCGACACACACGGCCCGATGTGACTTGTATGAACTGGCGTCCACCGGGCTCGTCAGATGATTGTGGTCGAGCTCTGTCTCTATGATCCTCCAACGCCCACTGTCCTCCATCAGCCTGAACTTAATCATGGCGGCGCAGCCCGTTCGAGTTTCGGGCCTCGGGCGCTGGGCCGCGGTCTGCTTCTTGAAACCGGCGCTGCTGCAGCTCAGCTTCACACGGTACCTCTCCCTGCCCTTTCGGTACCACGTGTTGCTCACGCGGACCCCAAACCCCTGCTGCCTCGCGTAGCAGTTGTAGAAGAAGTAGACGTCTTCGTACGACTCGAATTCCATCCCGACAGCCGGCGGCAGAGGGTTGTCTCCCGGTAGGACGCGGCCGGTTCGGCCGACGTACTCCGTCATGGCGCATTCTCCGCCGGTAACGAGCGGCGGAGGTTCGCCGTTAACAGAAGCCTCGTCCATCTATTGAAAAGGGGAAAGATCTTAAACATTCAGCAGAAACCAAAAGCTATTAAGATTTCAACATGCAACAGTTCACGAAATTAAAGATCTTACCTTATAGATGTATAATCAACTAGCAGAGTTTAAGCTCACGGCTGAAGATTTAGATATGTGGGCGGCGACGCGGTCGATCGGCGGCGGCGCAGAATCTCCCGATACGCGCGGTTGCACAGACAAAGCGGTGCCCTCTTGGATTTCGTTATCGTTGGCAAGTTGGATAAAATGTCACAATTGCCCTCGCAAATTTTTGTGTTAGACAATCTTTTTGAAGTCCACACAGTTTAAAGGCCGGATGATGCGATAAATTTAATGGGCCCGATTATTATTTGATAAGAACTGAAGGGGTTCTTGATCAAGATGAAGCTCTGATCTTGGCAATGACATGGGCGAGCTCTCCTGAAGGCAAATGATTTGGGTGAACTTCATTCACAAGTCTTCTCAAAAATGCACGAGTGACTGAAGCTTTAAACCAATATATTGTTCTCTCTGCTAATGTTGAAGCTATTGTGGAGTGATATGGGTACGATTACAATAAAACTGAGTTTATGACTTTATTATTGCAACTACCTTTCTAAAAAGAAGAAGAAACACTCGGGAAAGTTGAGAAATACATCATTTAATAATTAAATTACCGTCAAGTAGAAAACTGTAAGATAGTAAATTCAGCTATTTTGCCCCAAAAGACAACGTTAGTATCAAGTCGTCCCGAATTCTGCAAATAGCCAAATTCCGAAGAAATACAAATCACTGGCCAAGGGCCAAGGCAGATACTCTGTTGTTCTTTTAGCCCTTTTTCTTGGATATCGATACTTCAATTTTGTAATGCAACATTATCATACAGAGAGTTCTACATACAGCCTCGTCAGAAATTCAGAATCACAGAACTCACACATTTAGTCCCTAATAACATAAAGATGGCCATACAAAAATTTTCCTTAGACTCCATGAACTCTTTCCAAAGACTCCTCAAACGCTCTCAACGCCACCTTATAATGATCCAACGAGATCACCCCTTCCTCCACAACCTGCACCGCCCTTCGGTACAGCTGGCCCATCCACTCGACCCGACCCGTACTATCACACCCGCCCGACCCGCGACCCGAAACACACAACCGTTTGTAATCCTTTTTCCACCTCGACAGAATATACCTCGCCGGAATCTCCTCAACCCCGTTAAAGTTCAGCACACACAGCGCGTGCCGGCACAAATACCCGTACAAGTTGAAACAGCCGCAGATGCAGCGAACCTCGCCCGCGCCCCGGTTGTAGAGAATCTCAAACTCTCTAACCTCTCTCCTGTTCCCTTCCTGCAGTGCCGCCGCCACCCTTTCCTTCACCACGAAAATCGAAACGGGCCCATCCGCGTGCACCTGCATCGTGTGGAAGCACGAGTACATCTCCATCACCTCAACTCGGAACCTCTCGAACATCGCCCGAGTGTATATTTTCGACACCTGGATTTCGAACGGGCATCTCGTCCTCAGCTCGGGATTCGAACCTCTCGACTCCATGTCGGCGCTCGTTTCTTCCCGTTGCTTCCTCTGCAGCGCCAGCTCATACTTGTCGAGAAATTCCTTCAGTGGGGTCTGCTTGTGCAGGCACTTGTCGAAAATCGGGTTCAGCGACTCGGCCATTCCCATGAAGAACGTGTCCTTTAGGTAGGCCGGGGCCCACAGGGCCCGGTCCTCGTACAACGACTGAAGCCACTCGTTGTCGGCGATTCCGAACCGTTGGATCATGAAACCCCACGTGGTCTCGAAATCGAACGGCTTTAGCGCCTCGTAGACTACTTTCAGGAAAGTCTTCCTCACGGCGTCGTAGTTTCGGAGGCCTCCGAGTTTTTCCGGAACTTTCCTCACGATGTGGGACAGGGAAAACCTGTGGTGAGATTCGGGCAACACTTGGGTTACGGAACTCTGCAAGACTTTGCACCTGTCCGTGATGATCGTTTGCGGAGCATTTCCGGATGTACAATTAAGCCATGCTTTCAGCAGCCAAACGTACGACTGTACGATCTCGGCCGATAGAAGACCGCAGCCGAGTAAAACCGACTGACCGTGGTGATTAATCCCCACAAACTCGACGAGTGGAACTTCGTATTTACCCGACAGACATGTGGAATCGAGAAAAAACGCGTCGCCAAAGTAAATATTCGCAGACCTCGATCGAGCATCCGCCCAGAACACGTTCCGTAGACGCCCTTCGTCGTTTAAGTCCATTAAATAAAAAAAATTCGGGTTAGTCAACTGCATGCGGCAGAGGAAGTTGTACATGGCCTGTATGTCGCCTTTTTTCAGGGCCAAACAGTTGGGCGGGCCCGATGTGGTATCGGCCCGTCTTAGATCGAAACTAAGGGTCCCATCACTCGCCGTATCTATAACAAGTGCTCGGTACAATTTGGCGGGCTGTGCTTCCGGGTCAGATTCAGAAATTAGCTTATTTTTTGCTGGTTTGTGAACTTTTGCTCCCAGTGCATGGTTGTGATCGAGAATGACTTCGAGAATTCGCCACCTTTTGGAGCCGACTAATCTCATCCTCATCATGGCAGGGCAGCCGGTTCTGGTTTCCTTCCGGAGTCGGTTTACGTCTTTGGCCCGTTTGAATCCCTGGCTGCTGCAGCATAAAACGGCGCCGTATTTTTCTCGGCTATTTCTTTTGAACCACGAATTTTTAACCCTCACGCTAAAACCCGCTTCGCGGGCATAGCAGCTGTAGTAATTGTACGCATCGTCATAAGACTCGAATTCCATCCCGGCTGCTGGAGGGTCAAATTCTTTACGTATACTGGATGAACTGCCGTTTTGGGCATTGGTTTTGGGAGAAGGAAAATGGGGTAAACCATCTGCTGTTTGATGGGTTTGACAAGGTGCATCTTCCATGCAAATCACCGATTATCCTCTCTAAACAGAAGTATGCAGAATGAATAATGGAATAATTTTACAAAGATTAATAATCACACGAAAGAAAGGAAGAATGACTTATGCTCGTTTAACTATTTCCTTCTGTTCAGGAGTTCCTAAGAGCAATACAAACTGATATTATAGATAAAACAAGTGATTGATGAATCCGGGTCCAAGTATTCCCAAATGTAACGGAAGCCTCACTTTTCAGATTTTAGTTCATAGAATATAAATCATGATAGAGCACAGCTTAATAATCCTCCACCATGCGGAGTCTGAAGTGATATCTTCATCTATTTCACAAATTACCCTCAACAGCAAACACAGAACAAAAGCCGAAACTCAGATAATCAAGAAATGGAGATACAACTCATTATTGGTTACTGAAGCATGAGAAGTCGAGGATTAAACAGCTAAAATGCACCTACAAATGGTCTAAGAAGTGGTTACACAACTGAATTCCCTGAATTTCGACTATGTGATACTTTCTCGGGCGATATAACCCCCAAACCAGTCCCTCTATTTTTACCAAATATTATCAGCCTCTTCTTGATTCAGTGAAGTAGCAGAAAACTATGATGGAACATTCAAAGTCATCATAACACAAATTATTCAACTAAGGAAAGCATATCAGGGATAGTACCTGTGAACTCACCATGGCTACAGAACACAATTATGTTACAAAAAATAAATAAACAANAAAAGATGCCGAACAGTTCATTTAAAGGGTGAAACAAGAATTGTTGTCGGCCATTAATCCGTATTGAGAGCTTTGGAACTACTAAAAAGTTAAAACCTAGCCCTAGCCGGAACTGATAGCCATTTTTTATACAATTCACATGATAAATAAGGAGAAATGAAACACGCGGCTTACCTATGAACGAAGATAGCAGAGCCCAGAGACCGGAGAAATTCGCCGGCGATAGTAAATGATTTTCATTTTTCAATACGCATTTTCGTTATGTTATAATTTATATAAAATGGGCAAAATATGATGGGTGTATTATTGGGATTTTTAAAAACTTTAAGACTATATAAATTTTGTTGTATTTAATTTAGACTTTTTAATACATTTACAAGTCGTAGGATATTCATTTGATATTTTAAAAAAATTTATAAGATTTTGAGTTCTTTAACTCATTTGACACTATTCGCTCGGGATTTCAAAAGACATCTAAATATTTTTTTAGATTTGAGATTTTTTAATATTTTTAGATTTTAGAAGAATCCCGTGAAATCTAAGGAGTGTATTCAATTAAAACTTTTAAATACCTTTCAAGACTTTCAAAATTCTAGTGCATGCAATTGAAACTTTTTTAGACTTCTAAAAAGTCTGCATGTATTCAATTGAGACTTTTAAAAACTTTTTATAAATTTCTAAAAGTCTCAGTGTATTCCTTTCTAAAAGAATCTCAATAAGTCACTTTTTTTAAATTTAAAGACTTCTAGAGACTTTTTTAATAAAATTACAAAGACAAAATCTCAATAGAAATCTCATCAAATTGATGAGATTTTGCTATGGAGATCTCAGAATGTCTGTCGAAGTCATTAAAAATTTCACAAAATCTACCAAAGTCACTAACTTTAAAAAATCTTAATAATTTCTTAAAAGTCTCAATTGAATACACTCCCTATGTTATCAAAAACTTTTCTCTCTCTCTCTCCTAAAAAAAAAAAAACTCTGTCGTGAATCCCAGATCTGAAGACCAGCGGCCCTCTCCTCTCAGGGCAACTCCTTCGCAGGACGCCGGCAGTGGTCCAAACTCCCCACCTTCTCATATTCGACTCTCTTTGTGTCCTGTTCGGGCAGGGGGAGAGACCTCCGTTTGGTTCTCCTCCTCTTTGTCGGAGGAACCGCCGGAGTTCTCGGGTTGGGTGAGAGAAGGTGGCGGGCTTCTGAGGACTGTGTTGGCAGTGCACCTTCAGAGTTTTCAGTTTTTTGGGGGTTTTGGTTGAGGCGATTCCTGCTGTGTTTTTGCGGCTCTCGGGTGGTTGTGNCTTTGCAGTAGTCGGGGCAGTGGTCTGTGTCTTGGCTTTCTCCTATTTCCAAAATTCCCTAGTGTTGGTATTTTGGTTCCTATGGCAGTGGCTGTGTGTTAGTACGAAGACTCTGGAGTTTGTGTGGGGGAGGTTGCGGCGTGGACCGACCTAGGTAGGTCTTTGCGGGTACTGGGGGAGGTTGCCGATGCCATTGGCCCGGGTCTTGTTAGCCTATCAAGGGAGTTTCAAGTCCCGTTGTGATGGGCCGTGGTTCGTGAGCCTTTTTCTCGGTAGGTCGTGTGGTGTTGGCTCGATTCGTGAGGTGTGGGTGGCTCCTTTCTGGAGAGGAGGTCCCTTGTTAGTTTAGAGTTTTCGTTTTTTGGTTGTTTGTGTTTCTCTATTTGTTTAGGGCTCTTTGTTTTCCTTTTTGTGTTGATTTGTCTCTCCTATCCCCTTTGGAGCTTTTTATTTTCACATTGAGATCTTCTTATTCTTCTGTTGGGAGCTTCTTTTGGCCTTAGTGTTTCTTTGTGTTTGTTGTTTTAGGTTGGTTCTGGACTACACTTAGTGTGGCTCTCCCAACTAGATTCAGCCGACTGACTGGTTATTTCGGCTATTTAATTGTTTTTTAGTATGTAATTATATATTTTGTTTTATGAAGTGTATCGTTTGAAAAATAAAAATACACCCCTAAGTTTCATTTGGCCATGGCTGCCATATCAAAACCCATCAGCTCCGAATAGGGCTATTGCATTTTTCTAGTTTCATTTTTTTCCTTTGCTTTTTTACTTTTAAACTCTCAATTTAATGGTGATGGGTTCCGTTAATTTTAAGACTTACTAATTTTACAAGATTTAGGTCTCAAATCGATAAAAAAAATATTTCCCGATTTCATAGTTAGATCTTGTATTGAAAAAACTCCAATAAATAAACTTGCGGCTTCATTCACCCTGAAACCTTAGGTAGGGTAATTGAACGTAAGGTTTATCTCTTTCGACCATCACATTTACTGTTAAAAAAATTGATCGGCGTTTTTTCGTGTGCCATTTCAAAAACGATGACGAACCCCAAGGCGAGTTTTCTTCTGTTCCTCTCTGGTACGTGTGTTGATTCATTAAAGTTTCGAATTTCTTAAAGAACAATGATTGATTTTCAGGACGACGAAAGCAGCACCAACTCTGGAACTACTGTAGATCCAGAAGAAAAAAGAGAAGGAGGTGATGTGACGCAAGGAGATGATGCTGTCATGCCCCACACCAAGGCGAGTCTTCTTCTATCCTCTCGGGTACGTGAGATGATTCCATTAGAGTTTCGAATTTATTCAAAACAATGATTGATTTTTCAGAACAATGAAAGCGGCACCAGCTCTGGAAATGCTGTAGATGGGGAGAATAAAAGAGAAGGAGATGATGATGTGACGCCCCCAGTATCGAAGAGATTAAAAGACGAAGAAATTCCTGCCCCTGGTTACGACAGTGGAGAGGATGACGAGTTGTATGTTTTTGAAAGTTATGGACTTGGTAACTACGAGGTTTGATTCTTTAGTTGCCTTAATATATGCCTTATTCAGTTAATTGTGCTTATTCCTGATTCCTGATGGTGTGTATTACTCCATATAACTGATAGGGTTTGGAAGCTGTGGTTAAAGCTTCGAAATTTAAAGATACACTAGCGGAAAAACATACTATTGAAGAGGTAAATCAAACTCTGTTTTTGTTTGGAATATAGACCAGGCTCACTTCATTGTCTTGATTCTCCATCGAATAACTTCTCAGTCAATCATTAGTTACACAATAATTGACAAAGTAACTAGAGTTAGAAATAATGATATATAACATAGGGTCATTATTTTTTTCCTAGTAGATTTATCAATCTACTAAAATTCTTAGGAAAACAATATCAATAGGGGTACTGTGATGACAAATTGTCCACAATTTGTTACCAGATAGTGGGTTTCAGAAATGTGTTCGGGTGCCTTGTTGGTTACTTTTTTCGTCCTTGGAATTAAATGTGATATGCAAGCGTGTTTATGATTATACATTGTAGAGAGATAATGTTGAAACATTGGACTGGTTGCTAGCTATTAAAAAAATTTGGCATTTGCTTGATGTGCGAGTGATCTCGTGTCTGTCTATTCACTAATCTATTTTACATGACAATCAATGATAAAGAAAGTCACATATGAATTGAATGTAGGTTACCACATTTTTTTTAAAGCATTCTTCTTTGTTTGCACAATTGATGTGTTTGAAAGATTTAGAATAGTGTTGTTTACTTGTCTTTAAGTTGTTTTCTTTGCCTTACTTTATTCTTTTGGCAGTTCAAATGGGTGCAAAATGAATTTGAGGAGGAATTCGGAGAAAATCCTAAGTTTTCAGGGAAGATGGAGGTAGAAGCTTGGTTGTCTAAAAGAGGAGATGTAGCATTGTGTTTTGCAACAACCAAAAAATAGGTGAATGGTCTACTCATGTTTTAAGCTCAACATGTCCTGTGTTTAAACACTTTCGGTAACATTGATTTATGTTATTTGCTACAAAAGTATCAAATGGTTGGCTAAAGATTGATTGGGAAGAATATTTGATCTTGTGTGTATTTTATTTTAATCGCACGTCATCTTTTCTTAAAAATATGTTGCACCTAGGGCTTCTTTCCTTACAAAGTTGTCGAACCTAATTGCTTTCTGCAACATTTGTTTGTTACAAATTGTTGATATATATTGTGACAAAAATTTTAGCTATCAAAGTCAATGTTCTTAAGATTACCAACTTCTTTCAAACCAATTTGTTCTTAATCCATTATGATGTTGGTTATGATAAAGTTGCGACCATTAGCCATCAAAGCCGATGCCGGGGTCAACCTAGTCAAGTCCGGGTTGACCGGGTCCGAAGCACCCACCCGGCCGGTCCCGACCTTGGGTTGACCCGGTGGCTGGTCCAGGTTAAGAATTGTGCTTACGTTTACCTTTAGTTTATTTATAATATATAACATGTTTATATTAT